GTCCAGCCAGCGAGGGGTAGATCGAGGTGGAGGGTGCGGTGGGAGGAAGAGGTCCGTGGGTCTCCAGTGCATGTGTGAGAGAGGACAGAGGAAAAAGAGAGGTTTTCAGTTTTGTTTTGTTTTTCTTTGTCTCGTCTTTGTCTTTTTGAGTCTCTTGTTCTCTGCATTGTTTCTGTAAGTCTTCAACTTTTTGAGACATCTGTAATAATCTGGACTCCGTTTCACCCATCATATTTTTAGACTCATTTTTCCACATTTTAAATGCTTCCTCATGTTTGTGCATCGTTAAGTAAACCTTTTGAGGTATTTTCTTCATCTGAATCATTCTCTGCTTCTGCTGCAATAATAGTTCTTCGAGTTTTTGAATGTCTTCGGTTTTTAAAGATCCATTTTTAGGAAAACCAAATTCGTAATGCCACTGAGAAACGAAACTTAGACAGGAATCTCCGTATAAGCGTTTCATTTTTTCTGCAACCGAACCGTTTGGTATATAATCTAGATTCTTACTTTTTGTCGCTCCCATTTTATCTTTGTTAGTCTCTCTTTCTTTAAGACGAAACTATTTTATTTCCTCAGCCCTCTTTTATCAAGACGAGCCTACCTCGGCTTTCCTAGTGAAAACTTACCCTCGGTTCCTACTCTAAATTCAGAACTTACACTCGGCTTTCCTAATGAAAACTTACCTCGGTTCTTACTCTAAATTCAGAACTTACACTCGGCTTTCCTAATGAAAACTTACTTATTTTATGAGAGAGCGATCTTTTTGACGGAGTCGTGTCTGTCGCCCGCTCGCTAGCTTAGCGTTTTTTTTTTTATTTTATTTTTTTTATTTATTTATTTTATTTACCTTATCGTAGATGTCTCTGGTTTTCCTGTTTCGAAAATACGGCCGGAGTCGATCCCCCCTCCGGAGAACCAGACGTCCTCCCGCTCCCAAAACGTCCTACTTGGAGGGTCGGAGGTCCGGTGATCAGCCCCGTCGTGATTCTCCGTCGATCGGACGAACTCCCGGCGTATCCCAGCGGTGCCTCCAAAATTTTGTGGAAAATAATAATTGTTCTAAACTTTAAAAAACTCTTAATAAAAAGAAAACCAGAGACATTTCTCTTTTAGCTCAAAACGGAGCGCGAGGTTTATTCTTTCTGCAGAAAGGAGTTGCTGCCTGCGTGAAGTCAGAGCAAGCACACACAGCACACTGGATTCTTAAAGAGACAGTACATATATTTATACATGTTTCGTGCGTCACAATAACATTCTTCATGAAGGGAGGATAACGTTCCTCAGGCTGATATTATACACAAGTTCTTGTTATCAGTACGAGATGATGTTATTCTTCTTGTGGAGCCGGTGCTTTGTAACCAGTCTTCTGTCCATGTGACTAGAACATTCTGATAAACATTTGTGGAGCTGGTATTTTTTAATTAG